CCCGCTCAGTCTCATCTCCCATCGCCACCATCTAGAATGCTAAAGGGCCTCTTCCAGTGCCCCTTCCCGACTCCCCCACCTCCCTGGCCCCTTCGAGTGACTGTCAGTACCTTCCCCTGGCGTTTCCAGGTCCGGTGGCGTGTGGCTAGCTGTCCTGTCATGACTCTGCAGCTCATCAGTGTCGTCTCAACTCGTCTTCATCTTTTCCCTCCTTGTCCTCCTGTCCCTCTCCTGTCCTGTCCTGTCTGACGTGTCGATGTCAGGGCTCTCCCCAAGTGGAATCCCATTCAAACCATGGAACTCTGGGGGTTGGATGTTATCAGAGACAGGGGTCCTCTGGGGCCACCCAGCCCTCCTCATCCAGGGCGTCAGGCCTGTTGGGGTGGGGATCCAGGAATCTGGATGATTAACGAGTCCCACAGTCACTTTGTGATGGTCAGCAAGGACGGGATTCCTTAGCCCAAATCAAGTTCATGCCAGGGGAGTGCAGGTGTCCCTGGGAATGGGCCTCTGACCTTTATGTGCATACCTGCAGCCCGAGCCCTGGAGGTGGCTTGCCGTGGCTCTTTCCTCTGCGGGCTGAGCTGAATCTGCCTCCCTGAAGCCCACGGAAGGATCTAGGCCGTATGGGGCGGAGGCGCAGCTGGCATCTGGGAGCTCCCCTTTCCCACTCCAGGGCCCAGCAGCAGTCAGGGCCTCAGACAGTGTCCTTGTTGATGGGCACAGACCTCACCTGCCGCCACCTCTGTCCGCTGGGAGCCCCCTCGGTGTGTTTTGTTGCCTGTTCTTTCCTAGTGTCCCTTTAAAGATGTAACTTCGTGGAGCAGGGCAGGGACGCAGAGACACCCCCGACACCCAGGACCTGGCTGTGGCCCCTGTGTGTGTGGCTGTTGATAGCCTGTTACCACAGATGTGGAGGGCTTTAGTATTTTTGGAGCGTAGCCCTTCCTTGATCTTGTCCTTGTCATAGCCATGTGACAGAAGGATATCATCATGTGTTCATCCTTCCATGAGCATTTATGGAGCACCTATTGTATGCCAAGAAGTGTTCTGGGGATAATGTGAACAAAGCAAGGTTCAGAGAGGGGTGGGGGCTTGTCAAACAACCAGTGAAGGGACGAGTTGGCACCCAACCCAGGTTGAGGGTGTGTCAGTTTGCAACAGCTGCCGTAACAAACAACCGCAGTCTTAGTGCCTTAAACAACAGAAAATCTTGTCCCACTGTTCCGCAGCTCTCAAGTCTGAGCTGAGGTGTCTGCTGGCACTCTCTGAGGCTGTGAGGGGAGGGTCTGTCCCAGGCCTATCTCTGTTTTCTCCTGTGTCTCTTCACATGGTGCTCTTCCGGGTGCCACATGGCCAAAGCGCTCTGATAGGGAATTACCAGCCTAGACTGTCCTCACACTTGTTCTTAGAAGGACACCAGTTGTATTGAATTAAGGGCCCTACCTTTTCCATTGTGACCTCCTCCTAATAAGC